CATTTTGTCCCCTTTCTTGTTTTATATGTATATACAAAATCTTCCCATTTCCACCAACCTTATTGCTTGTAAGTATGCTGATGATATTGTGACTGGTTGCTCATCCCCTATTTAAGACATTTTCCTCACCTCTCCAGGACAGTCTTGATGAACTTCACGATTGGTCTGTGACCCGATTCCTTGTACTTTACATCAATAAATGCATTGAAGTTCCATTTGATCTTAAAACCGGTCCCCGTTACTTTTCATTAGTTACTAATCTCCCTGATCTTGGAGTTACTAAACAAAGCATTCCCAAATCGGTCTGTTTAATGTCTTGGTGTCACCATAAACCATGGTGTGCTCATGTCATCAACATTTTCACAAAAGTTAGAAAACTGTCTTTCCATGCTTACAGGCTCGGGAAACTGGTCGTATCAGATAATCTTGTTCTCAAATTTGTGATCGCCACCTTTGAGTAAAAATCGCAAGTGTAACACAAACGGTAAATTGCTTTGCATTCAAAAACCCTGAAACAAAATCACAACATGATACCATAAACAAAGTACATGCTTACCATTCTGTGTCTTCACTTAAAGTGAACTCCACTCTTGAAGTGTGGATAGAATAAGACACACAAGACCGCGTTAAGCACATTGTTTTCCAAGAAACTATAGACAAAAGACTTGATTCTTCTTAAGTCTTGACCATAGTAAATTATGTCAAATAATGTAATGTTAGTAAACTGATGATAGTTAAGGGGGTGTATTTTTGTGACCGGTGTTTATTATCCCCGTGCAGGTTCATGTGTCCATTTCTGATGAACAGAGTTTACTTGTGAATGCAAAACAATTTGTTCCCCTTTTGTATTTCATTTGAGATTTTTACTCACACGGGAATATCGCATGTTATACAGAAACATTGAAGCTGTACGAGATGTGTCAAATGAACTGACGATTCGGGCATATCGGTTAAATCTTCTCCAACCAACATGTGATGCAGTATGCGACTGCCACAACTTCTTATTGCTTGTCCAAGCTTTGTAACATCCCCATTTGCAGATATTAATTTTTTCAACATCCGTTGACTTCAGATTATCCCGATACTTTTTGATCCGACTCGACTACTGTGGCTTGACTAAAGTTTTCGTGCGGGTTGTGGCTAAAGCTTTACTGGAATGTTGGTCAAACCTGAAGGGCTTTGGGTTTTTGATTTAAGCGTGATGGAGAAAGATGTAGGGCTAGAAAACTGGCCAGTTTTCTAACGATTGATCGATGGATTGTATATACTTATTGGTTTTCCACCGACAATTATCAAGGCTATCTGAAATGAATGAGTAAGCGAACCAAACTATTCCCACGCATCTTTGGCTCGCAACTCACTCTCACCCGTCCCAAAACCCCTTATGCGGACACAGTTTAACCATGGCCTCCGGTCCCCGATGGAGCTTTTAGAGATAGAGATCTCGTTTACCGTGTGGACGCGATGCTGACATCTGACTTCCCTGGATTTATCTCTATCCATTTATGAAAACAATGCGAGATAAAGATGTAAAAGATGCATGTGAGGATAATCTTTGTTGATTAAAAACCTGTACTTATCATCGAGGTTGGTCCCGGAAAATCAGTGCAATAAGTTAGCTGAGATTATAGACCAATAGGGAAGACAAAGTTTTCTCCCATAGGTCACCGACTGCATCGTTAACAAACATTCTAATTTAATTACCATACATCCATACATCAGACAATCCAATCCGGTGACAGTGTCTGCCGACAGTACTTCAAGAACGGCAATTTTTCACCAGATTGTTTATCTTTACACGTCGGCACAGAGGGGAACAGAGCCATTTGGGAGCGTTGTAGACAGAAATATTTTACCGGCCAAAACGGTTCATTCGTTCACGCATTCATTCATTCATTCGTTCACCCAAATCCCCGACATCAAATTGTTTCTTGAGACACTAAATCCGTCAGATAAACATCGATACCATGACAACCTGATTGTGTGTTTTCCCCCATTTCGAACGCATTGTCATCATCATGGGGGAGCGTGGGAGCGCACAAACCAACATACATACATACACACACAATCCTCAACCAAACGATTACATACACAGGGAGTCTAAATGCACTTCGAAATGTCGAACAGATGCTGTGCAACCCGCCTATGAAAGGGCGTTTACTTTCACTAAAGGTACTGTGTAATTACAAGCCACGTAATATGGGTTTTGAATGTTTACTACCAAACTAATTAGGCACAATTAAATATATCCCCCTTCATCAACTGACTACCGTCGAATGAACACCACCTACCATCACATGTGATGACCGATTTTACACAACGGTATACCCGTCAATTAACACAGACTTTTAGTAGGGCTTACGAAACTTCAATCTCCTCCGAACCACGGATAGACTAACGGATATTGTGGTCCGTAAACTTCAAACAATAGTTTGGGGAAGATTAGTATCCATCAGTTAACCGAATCAGACCGTATTCTTGGAATTCTTTTATACATTTTCTTATTGGCAGTGTTCACCATAGCAACCGATTTCAGTTGTACTTGTCCAAACTAGTACCATTTTCGATATCTCACTACTGCATGTGTATTCACTTTCCACAAGTGAAATTCGAAGCGTTCACAGTTCAACTCATATTTCCTTCACATTTTTGACCGTAATTGGTTGACTCTTTCGCTGGGTTCACACTGAACACGTTTGCACAGTAAGCCAGTTGGAGACTGACTGACTGACTGACTGACTGACTGACTGACTGACTGACTGACTCGTGCCGAAAAGAAGAGCACAAGGACGACCGGGAACGACAAGAAGATAGATCCGGGATTAAGCGAATGATGGCAGTCGTCTAAGGTCCTATTAATAACTTTTACACAATAGTTTATGTGACCAATCGTGAGTTCTGTGATTATTGAATCAACCGAGATCAATGATACACGACAGATTATCACTAAACCACAATGAATGCTTTTGAATTCTTGTTTTAAAAAGTCGGGAAACGTTGCTGGAGATCAATAGAGTAGAATGTACAAAACACATCTGTGAATGAAAGAGGCATGGACTGACTGTGCGATTCGGTGTTGCTTGAGTTTGCGTAACTGAAAAGAGAAGCATTTCAGTGTTCCCATATCATTGTTAATCGGTATGGGCCACCGGAGATGGCGACATCAGAGGTACTTGACAGTTCGATGACAGTGTTTTCCGAATACTAGCAGTTCACGCGGCAGTAGACGAAGATGTGATCCTTGAATAAAGGATTTCGTTCATTGTTCTATATTCTCGTCAAATTGTGATAGTTTCAATCATTTTAGCTATTCATTGGATTTTCTCATTGCCTTTTCGTGATCAGTCTCCATTATTGCATTGCTGAATGAGTTTCGGCAGATTGTCTAGTATACGACGGAAAAATCTGTGTGCAGCTGTAATTGCATTTGTAAACCGTTACAGATACCATCGTTTCCAGAGCGTTCACTGGGCGTCGTTAGTTCACGTTGCCTAATATCTGCAATCAAATACCCTTTGACCACTCAAGTGTTTCAAAGGCCGGAAAAGGTAATCTCTGTGACCAGTATTCTGCTCGCAACGAATGCAGCTTCCGCATAATCACTAGATATGCAGCCATGCATGCATGCTTGGATGATTGTGAAGCTTTTATAGCCTACTTGACTCATCAATCCACTCACCCTCCCCCCTCCGCATTTACACACACACACACACACACACACACACACACACACACCGGGGCAGTTCATACTCTGATCAGGTTATCAATTCACAGTTGGGCAAATCAGGGGAAACTTTTCGTTCACGGTTTGAGCTCTCGGAATCAAATAGAATTCAGGTATTCATGTACATCATTCAGTCTATTTAAAAAAAAAACAGTTTGTCTAACCGTCCAAAATTAGCGGACTGGTTGATGAATGCCTATTCCTTCGACAAACCCCGGTTTCAGCAACAATCCTTTCCCTCAACGCTTCAGAACCGTCGCAATTACTCGACATCGGTAAGTAGCCAGTTCGAAATCAATTTAAGCTTTTTTGTCCACACCATTTTAGGCTAATCTTTGGCCTTTTACATTACTGTAAATAAAATTGAAGTTGGAAACTAAAAGCCGTCGAACGTAAGATTAGGTAAACAAGTAAATGTGTAAATGGGGAGAATTGAACTAGGGTAACAGGCAATCGAAACAGTTTTTCCAGTGCTTTCTTCCTAGTTTTTGCATTTCACTTTTCATTTGCTCTTTGCACGATTAAATTCGCTTAATACGTATTTCTCAACACACGACCTACTATGGACAATGAGCTCTCATCCTGTGATCATTTGTCCTATATCATTCCTCTGGTCTAGAAAATTGATCGAAGTGACCTCACTTGCTATTAATGCTCACCGCAGACCCTACTTGTTTCCACCTACATGATATTGCCGAAGTTGGAGATGACAATACCAGATGATCACTAGGTGCAACTTGGATCCTTCAGACTGAATCACGTGATCAATAACATTTACTTTAAGCAACCTCAATTTTCATTCCACTTAAATTTCAATTAATTCATAACACCCACATATCACATGATCGGTGAGGCCTATACACAAGCTGTCCCTCGATAATAATATACAGTCTGACTTCCAATAGCCTGTGTGCTTTTTGTGGTCAATGTTGAATGGAACCATGGTCACGTGAAAGTGTCAAATGCTACCGATCTTCAAAATGATAGTTAACACACTGGTCCTGTGGGATAACTCAACATCAACATACGGGGCCCGAGAAACTCACCTTCAAAACAAAATCCCCTTCGCAAATACCGGCGCGATCGGCCGGACTATTTGGAACAATCCGTTTGGCGATCTGTAAACTCGGCTTATTGGCGGTTGGTTGGAAATTGGCAATTACGTCAGAATCTAGAGGAAGTAGTTGAGAAGTGCAAATAACAATGACAATCAACAACTATAATAACAATAATACTGTGTTTAAAGAAAACGTTATTTTTTCCTCGGGTGGTTTGCGTGCGAATAAACTGATATTTCTAATCACATTATTTTCTCCGTTGTCAGTTTTTTTGTATTCGACGGTTCAATTCCTTGGATTCCTTGCGTTGTCTAACCAGAGATGAATAAGTATCTTCATTTCGNTTCGAATTTGTATTTGATTGTTCTGGGGGCGAGTTTAGTTCATACTACCTGTTCTATTGGGATGCGAATTTGTAGAATGCACCGATACTGTTTTGAATTGTGGAATCAATGAGACGTGGAATATTGAACTCGATATGGTCGCTATCTGATCACCTGGGTTATAAGTGGAGCTCGGAAGTCACTGATCGGTGGCAACGCTTCCATCGCATACCTTGAGAACCCAACGCACATCTGTAACAGTGACTAAAACCGCCTGTGTACTACCAATAACGTCACCTTCATCATTTTAAAAAACGGTTGATTCCGTCACCACATACAATCTTGAAATTGCTCTGAGGTGTTTTATCTCCAGCTCTCTGAAAGCCCTCTGCAGTACATATCTTTCATTGCATCGCGAAAGCTACTATGCAATGAAGGGCTCATCTTTTGTATGTCCAGTAACGGATAGTAACGGACACTGGGCACCAGTGAACGAACATGTTTGAGGAATTTGTAACAAAGACCGATGAGTAGAGAATTCTAGGTGGTCCCAATATGGGATGCTTTAGGATTTGCCGATTCTGTTATACTTCTAGTCCAATCTTGCCGTTCAGCGTCGTCCCGTGAACAAATATCACCGTTCTTGAGCGAACAACATGATCAAACATTTAGATGATTGCATTTGACAAACCAATTTCCAGAAAATCAACAGGATCGAAAATGTTACCACCGACAAGTTAATCATAAAAAACGGGGTGAATAGGGACATTTCTATGCACGATTCCTATCGAATTTTGGTGCGATGCAGGCCTTGTTCACATGGACAAACACGCACACACAAAAAAAACTGGGTGAGATAATAATGTAAAATACTAATTGATTAATTTTTTTTTAAAATATTTATCTGTCTTTTATGCCACGTGGTTATCTATTTCCCAACCCGTAGCTGCTTTGTTTAGCTGTTTAGATTACGTGAAACTTGACTGAAACTTGACGAACTATAGACAACCGGGATGTCTTTCAATGAGACCAGTAAACTGCGCCCTACGTGGATCATTGCGGATAATCTGTTCGAATCCCACCACCGAAAATCAAAATTTCCTCCCATTGTTTTTAGCCCGCGACATCTCTGTGATGAGTGGCTTTCTATCTGCTAAAAACTAATGAGAAAATCATTATACATTCAACAAAAGGACGTAACATTATCTGTATTTGTCTAAAATTAACGTACCGTAGCGTGCTTCAAAGAGGAAACTTCACTCACGGAGGATAATGCCCTCCAAGTCTTGTCTCATCAGGCGGTGTGCGAATGAACCTTCTAGGATGAGCCATGTGAGTAGTAGTACAGCATACTCAAATTCTTTCTTATTTTCCACAGAAAATGCTATACAAATAAAAGAGCCTTTATACAATGGCAAGCGGTAACTGCTTGTATTACAATGAACGAAAGCTGAACAGCAAAACTGTCCAGCAATTCACAAAGACCGTCACAGTATCCTATTCTGACAGAATGAATGAAACATTCAAACTTCAGTAAAAAAAAGTACCACCGGAAGCACTTGAATGTCGCTTTCTGAATGCGATTCGTTTCATCCAAAGTTGTTCGGATCAAGATGTGCCGATCGAGAGATGTGTTAGGCGCTCAGATCGGGACTGGGAAAGCAGCGTGACCTGTCATGTCAACTGCCCATTGTGTTCTACACTACTGAGTCGCAAACACACACGCACACACACATGCACATGAATTATTCTTACAAGATGTACAGTAGCCTCAGGGAAAGAACGCATTCTGATGACTTCGTTGTGTGGTGCCGTAGAGTTTGATCTGCCTGCTTGCTTGCTATGTGACAGTCAGAGACGGACACATTCGATTCGTAAAAACACAGCTCAAGCCGGGACGGCGGGGGTTGGGGCGAAAACAACAATTGACTACTGACTACAATGGTCTTAAACGTTTGGTGGACCGGGCCTGATTGCCTAACCGTCTTTGCTGTTCTTACTATCAAAATTAGACACACATACACACACACACACACACACCCGTGCGTGCGTGCGTGAGTGCGAGCGGAGAAACACAAAGAAGCACTCACTTTTGACCGTTCTTATGGACAAGCCAAATGACGGACGTACATCCGTTGGACTCGAGGAAAGAACACCATCCGTTTTGTACAGGACCACAGTGTGTGGAATGCCCGGACGGAATGCACGATTGATTGACGTAACGGGTGGATTTGACGATGGATCCGATTTGATCCGGGAACTGTGCGGTGATACAGCTTGACGAAGGCTTTCTCCAGGAGCACGTATTACATGCAACTGTGTGCCTATCGTGGATTTATGTCCATCTGATTGTTCAGGCCTACATGTGTAGATATGCGGTAGTAAGAGTTAATTTATACTATTAGATAATCAAAATGATATATCATTTATTGAACCGAATTCAGTTGGGCATTTTTCACAGCTGAAAACAATTGCTCTGCAGGCTAGAGAAATTTCGAAATCCCTGAATTTTCATTTGAGTCAACATAAAATAAACCAGCTCACACGGCACTGAGAACTTCATATGTGGGAGAATTCTCATGCACTACACTTTCCAGTGACCTTAAAAGTATTGACTCGGTCAAGAGAAAGAAAACGTAGGCTGAGTAATTTATCGTGCAGAACAATGGAAACCACTTGATGGTGGAATGAGTAGCCAGTCTGTGTTCGGCCCGTGAGATTCTGGATTCGATTCTCATCTGGGTCGAACGTTCCTCGCTACTGAAAATGAATGAGGAGAACACAAGAGCTCCAATAAGAAGTGTCTTCCAATTTTTCCCTTATACTTTTACGGTTTTTTTTCGCGGTGAAATGTGCCCTGGAATTCAATTGAAAACCTGTAGAAATGTATGGACAGATTGAAAGTCTGACATTAAAGACATGAAGATATAGTCAACCGTTTATCCGGGACCAAACTAGTGCTATCTTGATAGGGAAATCGGACACCCAACAGGTTTGAATGACATACACAGATACACGGGTGTACTTAATTGGAATACATCTATCAAAAATGTCTTAAATTCCGGGCGATCGACATCGTCAACATCATCCTTAGAACAGCGCTAGCTGATCTGCCCGGATTCATCACCGGTGATCACCACCACAAAACAGGGCGCGAAAGAGAAAATGTCAGTACTCTTCTCCTCGTGAGTTCATCCAGATGTCGGCTGTCAAATGTGACTGGACAAGAAGACGTGTGAACCAGAAATCGCAATTCATGCGAGCTGGGAGTAAAGTGGCGGTTTATATGACTGGATACTAAGCTAAGTTAACTCGTCTAAAGAGCAAGTTAGACATTAACAGAAAAAGCAAACATGTAAACGGGATAATCTCAAAACCATACCCAAAGTTAAATGAGTAAATTTTGCTGTTGTTCCATAACACATTCGTCTAGGGTTCTGTCCGAGTAACAACAACGACAACATGAAAGAAGTTTTTTAACCATTGGTTTGCCAATCTGAATGGGAGCAGTGCACCACATCTGATCGTCACGTGGTTGTACACCCGTTCTCCATGTGGAAACAGAATTGAGAACTATCCACGGTTTCTGTCATGGACAACTGACTGATAACAATGCGCAACGATGACGTAATAAGGCACCGTTCATATGGATTGTTCGCGTTAAACTTTGACCTATACGGAGGATATAGTATGCAGCTTATGAGGATTACGGAGTTATCCATCACGATTCGCCAAATTTTGAGAAAACTTTGCACGTACTCACTGGAATCTGTTTGTTAGGTTACACATTTCTCTCTCTCTCTTTGTGTGTGTGTGTGTGTGTGCATGTGTGTAGAAGGTGCATGATCAACTGACACATAGTTGAAGTCACAGATAATGGCATCAGAAGGAAAGCGTCACGTCAAACAGGAAGTGTTTTTCGTCAACTGGGCTTTACACACGTACGCACACACACACTCATACATGCATAAAAACGTACATACATACATACATACATACATACATACATGCATACATACATACATACATACATACATACATACATACATACATACATACATACATACATACATAC